GCCAACCCGCCCCCACCCCTGCCCTCTGGTAACCACCGTACTTCCTATGAGGCTCTTTCCTTAATCCCGTCACCTCCTTCACCAGGCCCTCCACACCCGCCTCTGACACCGTCCGTCCGTTCTCTGCATCCGAGTCTGTTTTGTTGATTGTTTAGACCACAGAAAAGTGAAACCATACCGTATTTTTCCTTTGGGTTCATACTGCCTCTGGGGACAGCACGTACCAGAGGCTGGGGAGGGCTTCGCACTTGCCTTTTGGCCAGACACCCTCCAGCCCCGGCTCAGCCTCCCGCCTGTGGCTTCCCTGTCTCCTTGCCTCTTGGGTGGTGGTTGCAGGGGAGGTGGTGCACACGCCTGCCGCCGCCGCCTCCCCGGGAGAGGCCTCGTGGACCGGCCGTCGCCGTCTGGGGCATGACAACCGCTCCCGAGTTTTCCACCGTCTGGATGGGGTCTCTACTCCCACACCTTCCATAAAACCGACCTACTCCGCTCCTCGTTTTAAGAAGTTTGTTCCGATAAGCAAGGGCCCAGTATAAAATAGGGAATGTCTCCTTCCTGAGCAGCCCCTTCCCTTCCGCGCGACAGGTTCTGCTAGGACTTCCATTTTGGGATTTTAAACCAACGGTTGCCATTCAGGTCCACTCTGATCCTCCCTAGCAGGTGCCACCAGCAGCTTCAGAACTGATCGCAGCACCCTGGCTGGGTGACACCCGAACAAGAGGGAGGCGAGCTGGCAGGCCGTGATGGAAGAGCAGCCGCAGCCTCAGATGTGCGGTCACCGTAGGAGAGCCAGTGCCCCGGGGCTCATACACGTGAAAGGGGTAGCATACTGCATCAAATGCATGTAACGTTTCCTCTGGGCACAGGTCAGAGGAGACTAAAGAGGGGAGAAGGGGAGATAAGACCCAGGAACTGGACTGTGAAAGAAAAGAAACTCATCTCCAAGACCTACCACGTCCCCTCGGGCACGTGGGCGCCAGGGATAATAGCCAGGCTCTGCCTCTGCACGCCTGAGGCTCCTACTGGGTTGGCCACCTGACCCCGGCACCAAGGCCCGCTGCCGTGGCTACAGCCAGCTTCCCTGTGACAGAAGCCCTGGCTGCACCCGGGTGCTGTCCGGGCAGGAGCGGCTCCAGCTGCGAAGACTGGACTTACTTCAGGCTGCGCAGGACGGGGTTAAGCCTCCGTAGCGACCACGAACACCGTTGTGAGTGTTTGTCCTCCCGGGGTCTAATCTGCCTCTGTCTTCAAAGCCACACGACGAGCATCCTGCAGACGGACGCGGAGATCCTGCGGACGTGCGGAGGCCAGGCCTCAAGTCTTGATTTCAAACCTTTTTATTCTTGTGTCTTCATTTCAAAGAGGCATCAGGATGCAGAGGTCAGGCCTCACTCAGAAGAATGGGGGTCCTGCCCCCCCTTCCACAGCTCCCCTCCACCAGGGCATGTTGGAGTTAATGCTACGATCTCCCAACAAGTCCCGAGGACGTCCTAGATCAGCGATGGCGAACCTTTTGAGCTTGGCGTGTCAGCATTTTGAAAAACCCTAACTTAACTCTGGTGCAATGTCACCTATAGACATTTTTTGATCTTTGCAACCATAGTAAAACAAAGACTTATATTTTTGATATTTATTTTATATATTTAAATTCCACTCGACAAAGAAAAATCAACCAAAAAAATGAGTTCGTGTGTTACCTCTGACACGTGTGTCATGGGTTCGCCACCACTGGCCTAGATCAACCAGACAGGGACCTCTGGACAATGTGCTGGTGGAAGCCTGGCCGGGCTGCAGGGCAGGTGGCTGCAACCGCTTGGTGCTGGGCATGAGCCTTCTCGAACCACTTGCAGGAGAAAGGAGCCAGGGGTCAGGGTGTCGGGTTCAAGGCTGACCACCCCCCGCCCTGGCTGCAGGCACTCTGGATGCTCGGCTGCTCTCGTCCTAGGAAAGGACATCCCCCCTGGAGACGGCCCCCCTGTCCCCAGCAGACTTCTACACGGTGGCAAAGCCCCTGGTTCCCACGGCCCCAAAGTCAGCTCAAGGTGGGAGGAAGCCACAGTACACGCCAGCAGAGCTCAGGTGAGGAGCGGCCAGGCTGGTCTGCAGGAGTCCTGCTGCCCCGGCAGGCGGCCTTTCTCAGCATTTCTCTGGAGCCTGCAGCTACTGCAGACAAAACAGGCGACGATGGCACGGCCGATTTGCATGGCCTTGGGGAATCCTTCCATGTTGGGGCCAAACCAGCCACAGACATTAAGAGCCATGCAAAGGGGCCATAGCCTCCAGGAGCCTCGGCTCCCGAACCCTCCTGGACTGCAGCGGCCAGGGCACAGCAGAGGGTGGAACCGAGGAACCCGAGTGCAGGCCTCTGTCTCAGGCGTCATAAGGGGTCACTGTGTGGTATTCAGGCTACTTCCCTGAGGCCTGCAGAGGCCGGACCTGAGGGTAGGCGGTAAGGTGGCTGCCAGGAGTCGGCCGCCTGGCTGCTCCCCGGGGGGTCGGAAGGGCCTGGGGAGGCCTCTGGGGGCAGGAGGGATGAAAAGTGGCCTCAGTTCTGCAAGGCGGGCAGGAGCAGGAAGGCAAGGCTCTGTCCCTGGCATGGGGCTGGGGGGTCCCGGTGAGCCAGCTGATTGGCTGCAGGGTCCTGGGCTGGAACAGCAGCACCTCGAGGATGCATCCAGCCACCCCATTCTGAGATGACTGCCTTCAGTGCAGCAACCCCACGGGGTCAAGGTGTGCTCTCCTTGTTCCCAGGAACAAGTCCCGCTGCAGCAGGTGCAGCTGGACAGGGCCAGCTCCTGGGACTGCAGGCAGCAGGGCCTTACGGGGTCAGAGTTTGCGGGAAGAGCGCTTCTCGGGCTGGTACTGCGCATCCAGGTGAACCGGTGTTGGTGACTCGCCTGGTTTTCCTGGAAGGAAGGTCACCCTCAAAGTTATCGCCCCAGCAGGACAGAAACCACGGGAGAGACCCGATGCCGACTGCACACATCACCCAGGACACTCGCGACCGGAGTTTCTTTTCTGCGTGGACACTGGCGCGATCAAACAGTCATGGCTGTTAACTATAGGAATGGTCTGGTGCCCCACCCGCAAGAATTAAGCAGCCTGGCCAACCTTCCTCATTTTACTTCACTGCATGCAAGTCCCATGCCTGGAGCACAGGAGGTCCTCACGTCTACTGGACTCATGAAGCCAACGGTCCGGAACTGGGGCAGCCCTGCTCTACCACAGCCTCCTTCACCAGTGGCCCCAACAGCAGCACCAGACCCCTGGGGACCTGCTGACCAGGCCAGATTCCCGAACCCCCGACCCACTGAGCCAGGTCTGCGGGCAGGCCCAGCAGCCTGTGCAAACCCTGCAGGCGACCCGCTGTTCCTAATCGCATCTGGGGGAGGACTCCACAGCCAGGGCCTCAGGGACCCTCGGAAGACGGACTGTACCTGCCCAGCTCCGTTCTGGAGAACTGTCAGCTTCAGTGTCGTTTTCCTCCCAACTCACTGCAGAGGAGCAGGGCCTGGTGGCGGCTCTAGCCCCTTCACTGGAGGCACAGCGGGCGGGTCAGGAAGCGCGTGCTCACCCGGGCCGGCGCTCACCGCCTGGCAGACAGAGCCCGCCCCTTTTGCTTCCCCGGGTTCAGGCACCTTGATGCCTGTCGTCTGTTTCCTGAACAGGGCTTCTCAAAGGCTGCCCGGAGAGGAAGCCCAGCAAGGTTCCAGGACTCACGCCCGAGGGGCTGTGTCTGAGCTACACCCTGATGGACATCCTCTAGCTCGGCCGTCGTCAACGGGGGGTCCACGAGGTCCGAAAGGTGGGCGACCACTGCGCTAGCTCACGAGAACTAGGCTCCCCTGGGGGGTGCCGGCCACCCTCCCGGGAGAAGTCCCACGTGTTTTACCTTGACCATGAAACAAACAGTGGGCGAGCCCCGTTTGACTGTGTGTTGCTTAAGGAGAGGAAGGAGGTCGGTCGGTCAGTAGGAAGCCACAAGTCACTGGCCAGACTGCCGACACAGACCGGCTGGGGCTGACTGTGTAGGCTTGTCACAGAACCAATGAAGAAACGGTGCAGAAATGCAGAGAACGGACTAGAACCCAGAAGTGATGTTCCATTTATTCACTGAAAAAGAGGGCGGTCAGGCCTTCTCGATCCATTTTCTCCAATCTCCCCAAACTCCCTCTCTTCATTTTCCCGCAATAACACACTGAGAACTTCAAGACCCCAGGGGGAAAGGGAAGTATTTGGAATGAGTTTCCTTTGGGAAAAACTGCGGGAAACGGGGAACCAGGCCGTGGTCAGAAGGCACTGGGACTCAACGCCGGAAGCAACAGGCTCCCTCCCACCCGAGCCCGAGCCACCGCGGACCACGGCCGCCTGGTCAGAGGCAACACCGAGGGCTTGGAAGGCGAATCTGCCCTGCGGTTTTCTCTTCTGCTATTTGCTTTCTGATATTAAGGGAAAGTTCTCAGGTGTTTCATAAACACCTACCGATACCCTCTCACACGTAAAGCTTATAAACTGTGTAGAAAGATCCCCAGAAGATGTTCCATTGGCATTCCAGCCGAAGCTGCCATCAGAGGCTGTGACGGGAAAGGGCAGGGGCTCTGGGCATCGGATGGGGCACAGGGTGCCCACGCCCACGCAGGACGGGGGAGGGCAGGGAGGCCAGTGGAGAACCCAAGAGTCTCAAGTCCCCTCGAGCCACTCCTCAGCGGGGTAGGAGTGGGCTCCAGTTAAGGCATTTCCGCGGCTCTTCCTCTGGAATGGCTCCCGCTCCCGGCCGAGCACCTGACCCTGCAGCACGATGCGCTGTTGCCAGGAGCTCCGTGACCCCAGCCAGAATGTGAAACCTCAGAGCGGGGAGGGGGGGAGAGGTGTGAGGCCGCCTCCCAACCCCAAAGTCCCGCTCCCCTGGTGCTGCAAGAGGTAGTGTGGGGACCTGCTCCCCGGCAGCCTAACCATGAGCTACATGTCAGCACTATCTACTTCCTTTTTTAAAAGTTTCCTTTTTTAAGAGCAAAAGCATGCACACAGCAATGAGCAAGGGGGCTGGTTCACAGGGCGCGTGGCCTTGGCCCAGACCCTTCCTGGCCGGTCCCAGGGACGAAGGATGCCTCCCCAGGCCCGCCCTCCAGGCTCACGCTGCCTCAGAAAACAGACACCCACTGCAGCCCAGCAAGCCACCAGCAGGGAGGCAGGCCTGTGGCCCTGGAGGGGAGGCCCGGCCTGGGCGGGGCCAAGTCCTCACTGGAGAAAGCCCCGTGGGGTCCCCTCCTCCTTTGATTCGGGCGCCTCTATGGGTGGCCACGCCTCCCAGGCGTCACCCTCAGCGTGTTCTCTGCTCGGATGAGCAGGAGTAAGGTCACTTGCAATGCCTTAGGCTGTCCCTGCTGCTGTCCCTCTGCCCATCACCAGTTTTTGGTTCCTATTAACTTTGAATGCTCTCCCTTAAAGCAATGGAGGAAATAAAAAGAAATGATTATAAAACATTATCCAGAGGCTAAGACAAAACAAGACTGCAGGACAACAGAAATGGTAGAGCCTGGAATAGCCACACCAGGACAGAAACAACTAGAATGCCCAGGACATACTGTCACCAGGGCCCCCGCATGTGGGCCGAGGACCTAACTCCAGGGGCGCTGGGGCTGGAGAGGGGAGGCAAGAGGAATGGGGGAGCGGGAGATGGGACGCGTGCTTGGGCTGAGAACAAAAATCCTGAAAGAGATCAGGAAGCTGAGGAATGTGTCTTGTCATCCCCTGCGGCTGGTGGTGGCTCCGGTCGTACACTCCCAGCAGCCCCCAGGCTAGGGCGCGGCCGGGGCGGGTGGGCCCGGAGCAGGAGGCGGAGGGACTCCGTCTGCAGGCGGCGGCGGATCTGCAAACACATCCAAGAGTCACTGGTCACGGAGGAAGCACAGGGGTTGGGGAGGAAAAGGGACCGGGAGGTGATCTTCTCCAGGGGCTGGGGCGACCGGGCTGCCGGAGGGACTGAGCTAGGCCCACCTCTCCCGAGTCCCCCAGACCTGAGGAGTTAATGACATTGGATTTCGTTGTGTTTTAACGGTTCTGATTTTACTTCTTCAGTTAGATGAGCTACTTCCTGGGCAAGTTCTGTCTTCTTTTCTTCCTCCCACAGTGCTCGCCTAGCCGGGCACAACGCATGGCTGTCCCGCCCCCAGGGCCAGAGCCCCCTCAGGCAGCCGCCGACAGTGAGCATCCCGCAGGCCCCGCCGTGGACTGCAGTCCCTGGACTTTGGGCCACGACTCGGGGTCCTGCAGGGCTCCTGTCTGGGCTCCTGCCCATTTCAGCTGCAGCTGCCTGCTCGCACACAGGAACCCCGAGATCACTTATCAGGGGCTGTAAACGTCTGGATTTTGCCAGAAATGAAAACTGAGACAAATAATTCAAGTGCAGTGCTGCTCACTAGTCAGTTCACCCACCCTCCCCAGGAGGCTGCACCGCCCGCCGGGGCTGTCAAAGCGTGAAGCCCACAGATCTGGTCCCTTCCCACCTTCAGGGGAAATACAGCCGGAAGAGGGGTGCACGCGCCTGCCGGGGCCTGCCCAGGACCCCGAAATACCCCTTTGTGGAAGGAGTGGGGAGCGGGCCAGAAACCCTTCACATTCTCCAGTGGCTCCACCGCGGGCCCTTCCGGTCACAAATCCTGAGGCCAAGCACACGGCAGCGGTAAAGATCGATGGTGACAACTCCAACGGCAAAGTGGTGGACTCTTGGCTGCACATCTGAATGGTGCCTGCCAGGCGGCAAGGCCAGCATTTTCCTCCAGAGACAGAACCTGCTCCACCCTCTAACCACAGCCGCACAGGGACTCCTGCCGTCAGGATCCTGTCCGCACACCCAGCTGACCTGCTCCTTCGGCTGCGCACCTGCTCTGTCCCAGCCCCGAGGAGGGTTCAGAGGAGGCGTGCCTTTATCCACGCAGCGCCCTGGGAAGTGGCCCCGAGCACCAGGCACTGAGGCTCTTCAGAATCTCAGGAAACCTTGGGAAACCCTGTACCACCGCCCAACTGCTCATTTCCCACGACAGCTCCCGCAGGCCCGGATTCCTGCCCGGCCTCGCTCTCCACTGTGAACGGGGAGCTAAGTGCTTGGCATGTACGCGAGCTTCTGAATGAACCCGGACGACAGGCTCTTAGCTGGGGGCACCTGGCCACGAAAAGCTGCATTTTGGGGTTTCTCATCGGGAAGGTCTATAGTGGGAAAGGGCAGGCCAGAGCCCCAGCAGCGACCTCTGGAGGCCCCCACACCCAGATGGACCTGCGGCAGCACGAGCCTCTCCACTGGGCGCGGGCCTCCCCTCCACCTGAACCCGCTACGCAGCCACCACCAGCGGTCAGGGCGGCTGAGCAGCTGCCCGTCACTCCTGCCGCGGCAGTTCCTGTCCTTCTCTTCACACCCACTGCTTCTTAACAAATACGTGTTCTTATTGATGTCAGAGAGGAAGGGAGAGGGAGGGACAGAAACATCCACGAGGGAGAATCATGGATCTACTACTCCTCCTGCACGCCCCACTGGGGATGGAGCCCGCCAGCCGGGCACGTGCCCTGACCAGGAATCGAACCCTGACCTCCTGGTTCCCAGGTCGACACAACCCCTGAGCGAGGCAAGTCAGCCTCCACCCACTACTTCTGAACCTGCATCGATCGAGGCTCCTGCAGGGAAAAGAGCCGCCAGCAGCTCTGTGTCTCCCGAGGCGCACGCTGGACAGGCCCAGCACGCGGGAGCGGGAGAGGAGTGTCTTCCCGGCCCCCTCAGACCTCGGGTCACGAGCGTGTGCCAGGAAGGCTGTGCACCCGTCACTTGGGCACCTGCCCCAAACTGACATTCTGACCCACTGTCCTTCCAGGGACCTGCCAATCACAGAGAACCCGCCTCCCAGTCCTCCCAGAGACCCCGGGGAACGCACCCCCCAGCGTGCTACTTACACATGCCGTTGGGGGCCGTGAGGGTGACCCGGGGTCCTAGGATGCTTCCTGGCATTGGCGGCATCCCAGCAGGGGCGGGGCCACTCCCGGGGGGGTGGATGCTGGCGGCGACACTGGGAATCATGCGGCCTGGCAGGGGCTGCCCGGGCATCATGGAACCTGGGCCTGGGATCTGACCTGTGAGGAGAGTGAAGTCCTGAGGCAAGTGCACTGGGAAGAAAGGGACCGACTCCGACCCAAGACTAAATATGAACACCAACTCCCACAGGACCTGATCACCCAGGAGCAGGGTCTGCAATCATCTCTGCCAGCTTTTATTCCTTCACTTGTCGGGGGCAGCAGGTCTGTGGAGTGAACGGCCACCCTACACCCGGTGCAGGCAGGTGGCCACCAGAAGCAATTACCAAAAAGCACCCAGAAGCAAGCATTCATCCGGAGAGTCCGGGTGAAGAGTGACTCGCCGAGGATCGCCCGGGGACACCGGTGCCACGCGGAGGCCGGGGGCCGGACAGGAGGGTTCAATAGCGAGTCGGTGCCCAGTCCAAGGCCCGCAGCGCAGTCGGGACCGAACTTCTCACACGGGCTTCATGGGAAGGGGTGCCCAAGGGCGTGCTGGTCACTACTGTGAGGTCACCATTAACAAGGGATTGGATTGGAACCCCAGGTCCTGGTCACACACACAGATCTCGCCCTCTGTCCCCACCATGAAGAACCCTGTGACCCGGAGCCCAAGGGGTGGGGGGCAGAGGGATCAGACAGGCCACCCCGCCCCCTCTCCCTGGTGCTGGCAGCTAGCCCAGGAGCTGCTGGCCCCAGGACAGGCCCCGCCTGGGTGCAGCTGCACACGAGCCCTGGGAGCCGCAGCAGCCTTTCTGGAAAGAGCCCGACAGTCAACACGTGGGCTCTGCAGGCCACAGGGTCACGGCTACGAGACTCAACGTTGCCACGGCAGCGTGACGGCAGGCAGAGAGGATGCGTGACAGGCAGGTGTGCCGTGTCCCCACACACCTTTGTTTATGGATCTCACACAGTGAACGTCACGTCCTTTTCATGGGACGTCGCATTCCTCCTCCTCTGAGAACCCCTCCCCCATTTGAACGGTCAGCCATTCCCAGCGTGTGGCCACCGGGGCAGGAGGGCCGGTGGCCTAAGGTCGGAGCTCGCCATCGGCTCTAGAACGACGGGGGCATTCGCGCCTGAACTCTGGTGTGGCTGCGGGCGGGGCTGGGTTGTGAAGAGCTACAGACGAAGGGAAACGGCGTGACAGGCGCACGGGCTGACGCGCCTTCCTGTGAGGGCACAGCCACTCTGCAGCCTGTCAGACGAGTTTATGTAAACCCGGCCTGCGGCCTGCGCGCGCCTGACAGGCTTGCTCTAGGATGAGAAAGGGAACCTGTGGTTTTTCTTGTGTTACAATCTAGGGTCTCATGCTCTGTGGTGAGGCCCGTTGTCTGAGACGGAACACAGGTTTAGACTGAGCGCTGAGGCAGCTGGGGATCGGAAGGCCGGCGGTCCCCTCGTGAGAACATGTGGCTGCTAGAGGCTGGACCTCCAGCTCCGAGAACCGCGAGTCAACTTCTGTGACTCTACGTCACCAGGTGTGTGCAGTGGAGACACCCAGACTGAGGAACTCACCCCCGTCCTCAAGTGTGTAAACGGACCCTGTGGACGAAGGTGAGGGGGCCTCACCCTCCCCGCAGCCTGTGGACACACCCTGCGGCACGAAGTGAGGGGGCAGGTCCTCAGCCCACAGGCAGCTCAGGGCAGGCCCTCCCCGAACCCGCAGCTGGGGGGGGGGA